TATTTTTATCCAAATTACTGTTTGATTTAACATTTTGTATTGAAACTTTGTTAAAAAGGGTAGTTGAGTTTGCGAAAATTCCGGATTTGCAAACTTATTCCGGAGGCTGTTTTTGACAACTTTCAACAAAGAATGCATGTAAGTAGTATAGGCGTTTCTTGGGCGCCAAACACTGCGAATATGAGCCCACCATCTCGCATATGAGTCACTCCCGATGGCCATAGTTGGCGGCGGCTGCCATCTTGGACTTAACGAATGACATCATATCTCCTACGGAGCTGACACTTAGAGCTTGAGGTCAAGGAGACGGGGAAAAAGCGTACCAGTAATTTTATTTACAATCGATCATAAGCGTTCAATAAAACGTCCAAAAACGTTTCGTTTGATACTAAACTTTGTTACCAACACTGTAAGGAAGATATGTTCTACACGAATGATTTTTGTTTCCTTGGATTTCACAAATGTCCACTGATCTCCTTAGTTAACCATAAGCTATTTCATCAGCCCCATGACGCATCGTTTTATAAATAGAATGACATCATTATTTTATTTATAATCTCCCGAAGTATACCCGAGCTAGAGTTTTTTGCTCCCCGACGACAAGTATTATATTTGAATTTCATAATAAATCCAATTTATTTAACGATTGATGCAAAAATAACTATTTAAATCGTTTTATTCCATTATTATTGTTTATAGACGAAACCTTAAAAAAGACCCTTTATTGCGCAGCGGCCATATTAATTGTATGGCTAGTCCTGACGTGTTAAGACACGTCTACGCTTTGATAAACATGTTTGTAAGGTATGTATACTTTTTCACCATCACTACAACGACCACTTTCACCACCACCACCACCTCCACCACCACCACCACCACCTAACAGCCACCACCTCCACCACCACCACCACCACTACCTCCACCACCACCTCCACATCCATCTCCACATCCACCACCTTCACCACCACCACCACAACTACCACTTTTACCACCACTTCCTCCACCACCACCACCACCATCTCACCACCACCTCCACATCCACCACCGTCACCAACACCACCTCCACCACCACCTCACCACTTTAACCACCACTACCAACACCACCAAATTCACCACCACCACCACCTCCACCACCACCTCCACACTACCACCACCACCACCACCACCACCTTTATCACCAACACGACCATCAACAACAACAACATAGTAAATGCGTAAGAAAAGTTTTGTAAAATGCGTAAGAATACGACACTCACTGCATCTGTAAAATGGGCGACAAAAAGTGTTTAGATTGTCAAAGGGTTTTCTCTAAAAAAAAAGACGCAATGCTAAGGCATTTAAGGCACGTGCATACTTCTGGTAGCAAAGAAACGAGTTACGTAGAGTCTCTGGACGATTCAAGAAATATGACGTTTCAACATCCGTTTTTTTATGGTTGTATCCGGGACGAGCGGTAGCGGAAAGACTGAATGGACCAGAAAACTACTTTTGTCCGATCTAGTACGTCCGGCGGCTGAGAGAATTATATGGTGTTACGGACAATGGCAGCCTTTGTACGACACACTTCAGCGAACTATACCCCGGATCGAATTTGTACAAGGTATTCCCAACTACTTAAACGATTCCCAATATATTATATTAACTCCGACAAAAGGAATCTATTGGTTTTTGACTAAGTACGGACCTTACGAATTTTTTTACTCCTTCGGAAATAGCCCGGAAAGCTATGGCGTTGAATTTGAAAATATACTTAACAAAAAATATCTCCGGAATACCGGAAAACTACAACAGTTTTCGTCTAACGTTTGCAGTCTATACTACGCGTATTACGTCATAAAACGATATCAGGGCAAAACATTAAAGCGTTTTTTTTTAATTCGATATCCACCAAAGGAAGCGCAATGATCGCTTAATAGTGTCTACAATGAGGAAAAAAGACGCGATGTTACAAAACAAGTGATTATTATTGAACCTAAAACAATATTTTTTTATAAAATAGAAATAAAATTTGACATATATGTCGTCTTTTGTTTTTTTATTCATGTGGTCCCTGTTCTTAAGTTTTTATCTCTTACTTAACACATTAAAACAATACACCCAAAATATATTAATGGAATGAGATAACTGTAGCAAACGCTTCTTCTATTTCGTCAATTGCGAGCAAGTCTTGTGAGGTATACTTATCCCCGAAATCATCTAAATCCATACTGATATTTTAAAATTCTAAAGTTACAATGTTACTCGTTAAGCTTTTAAAATCGGAATGATCAAAATAATCTAAATGCGTTGTTATATACTCTCCACAGAGCCGATGCGTTCCTACTTTTAGAAAAGACGTCATGTTTAAACAATTTCATTGGTTCCAGATTACTTGATTTTAAATCTAAGACTTAATTTTATATATCAATTTGTAAATGAAATATCAATATTTCGGTTATTCGTAACTTGTTTCAAAGGTGATATTTTATAGAAAATTTATAATAATGATATACAGTGGAGCCTTGCTAATCCGAACCCTTCTAATCCGGAATCCTTTCTTATCCGAACGAAGTGTCCGGTCCCGATTTTATTCGTTCTATTTTCAATAGTAAAAAACCTTTCGGATCCGGAACCTGTCTACTCCGAATTCCGGACGTTTTTTCTATTTTTGTTCTTATTTTACTCTAAAATTTACCTCTCGGATCCGAACAGATTTTGCCAAATGTCACACCTTCATTCAAAATAACAAATAATCGCACATATTACAGGACAAACATACACCAAACTGATAGGTGTTATTTCGCTTGATTAATGGGTGAAACGTATGATCTGCGAAGGTGTGAAAATTACACTTAGCTTGCCTTGATATCTTCTATAATTGCTTAATTGATTGTTTTTCGTCAGCTTCTATAAATATTTTGATATAATGCAATAGAAATATCTTTTAATCCTTTGTATAGGATGTAATGATACGTGATTTAGTAATGAAAATTAATGAAAACAGTCAGTGAATTCGGATAGTCGCTGAATCAACAACACATCTTTTTAACAATCGGATACGAGTAAACAACAATTGACAAATGCTGGTACGAATATCAAATCATGTCTTGGCCTCCTGTTTAACATCGTAGATTAACTTACCCTTGAGGACATACTATTTTTGCTTATTGATTTATTTTTTTATTTCTTTATTTTTGTATTCACTGCATGTACATGTATTAAAATGAACGATAAGAGACTGCAAAAATTAAATATCTAAATTGCAATTTCAAATGCATTCCCGTTTTCTTTCCTCAAACTATATTGCAAATAACATGAAAAAAAACATGTTAAAAAACCTTCTAATTCGGAAACCTTTTTAGTCCGGAAACCTTTCTAATCCGAACTTTTCTTCTGGTCCGGACGAGTTCGGATTAGACAGGTTCCACTGTAGCTGGTTTTAAACATTCTAATCACGCTCTTTTTTCATCATTTTAGGCTATGATAAATTTCTAAGCATGGGTTAATCAGCATTTTTTCCGTGTGCAATGCGAGTTACTATTCTCCATATAAAGTATTTGTTAATATAAAATTTTACAAATACTGAATAATTATAATTATTGATAAAGTATATATATGTCACAAATAAACTACAATTATAATCATTCAAATTAGTAAACATTTATTTAGCTTTTATCCATAAAGCTACGCCGCTCTAAATTTTTGAAAAAGAAAACAAACTGTAAATTATTAACCATATTGTTTTCATAAAAAAGATACTGTGTAAAATTATGTACGTTCTCATGTATTATATTCACTATATTAGAAAATCCTACTCTTGTACGCACAAATGTTCTTGTCATGAGTAAATAAAGATATCTGTCTGTCATGAACGAATTACTTTCCAGATTTGTTAAGGAGCACAACTGAAATAGAATATCGGTGCATGGTCAATTTGTATTGGTCATAAAAATAATTAGCTACTCGCAAATCGATCTTTCTCTAAATTGATGCGCGTGTGAAACGTTTATTTCAAATCTCCTATGGTTCAGTAATTACGATAATGTTTGTGAATGATGTCTAAAAATAATGACGCTTTTGTGTTCATAAAAATATGACCATTAAGTTTCTTTTGACAGAAATCGTTTATCGGAGGCGTGTGCCAATGACACTTGACCACCGAGTCATTATTAATTTTTAAACATTAACAAACCATAAAGTTTGTTTCAATATTATTCCAAAACGCGTTAAATCCTTACCACGTTGTATTAATAAGATGATAACGTGATTACACATCTCTACAAAGTAAAAAATTTAAAATACATATCAGTTCATATTATTTAATATTCGAATAAAATCATTAATTGATAAACTAGTAAAAGGGATATAACTTCGAATAAAATCGTTAATTATTAAAAGGGATATAACTGTACACAATTATATCCGTAACATTTAGCACGTTACCTCCTTCCCTATAATAAGAAGTAAAAGTTTAAAAATTTGTTTCGACTTAATAAACGACTTAATAAACGTGTGCAGTAATGAAAACTGGGCATTTGCACAACGGCTTGTCAATTTCTCAATATAATTTTACTGATGTCAATTTACAAAAGTCGCCTTACAGTTTTTCTGTTTATATATCATGAACTAATATAATTTATATGTTATATATTAGTATTAGTAATAAGCTATTTGTCGACATTTTTTAAGTATTAAACAAATAATAAAACAACATTTGGAGTATAAAATACATAATTATTAACAATATTAGTTATTATTCGAAATGTTGTACAATCATTGCCTGATATAATTGCCCTGGACATAAAAACGTATATCCGTTTAAAGAATATATTTCAAAGATTCATAAATAAAATATACGCTTTTAAGAGTGTTTGATAAAAAGCATTCTTTCAACCATGGGTACAAGAAATCGTTACTATGGGATGCATGACCAGGCCATAAAAAGATCAATAATGTCGTTAAAAAGACAGTCGAATAATTTCTGGTATCGGTTCATACTTCGTTCATATTTTTAAAAGATAATCTTAAACCAAAAATTTTGACGCGACAAAATACATTGTTTATAACTGAAACATTGACAGATTTTCTAAACACTACACAGAGAGAAAATGATTCCATACCTCCTATTGTGAAATTATCACGATGATGTTTGAGGAAAAAAACTAATGGTGTCTTTATTTTGCACTAAATTTGTAATAAGGGTTCAGTCATAGTTTTAATGGTGTCATTAAGTTACAGGATGGTAAGATCCCTAATGCGTTGACAGATACAAATTAATTAAATCATTGGAAAAGCGTGTGTCGATGATAAATGGCCGCTGGGGTATTATTATCGGTAATTAAACAATTTATTTACTTATACCGCTTAATTAGTTTCATCATTCAAGCAAATGGGGGTTGATGAAATGTCTCGACTATTAAGATATCGGCGATTCGCGAGTTTCATTTCATTTATGAGTTGGACATTGAGGTATAAACATCAGGTAAGCACCAAGGGCGTAAAATATACATCTAATTTTCTTTTATTTCGCATTAAGTTTTAAATTGAATAGCTAATTGACTAAAGTCACCGTAAGCTATTCTGGTCAGTTTGTATAGGCGGACGTAAAATTAATCGGGTATTTGACATTTTAACCATAATCATGTTTGATGCACTTATGGCCAAATTAATAGATTATTAAATAGATTCATAATTAATATTTCTCTAGTAAATCGAACCAACTTCTGAAAATAGTGTGTGGAGGGTTATGATTCATTTGATTTGTACGTTTCATTCAATATCTGGTCTTTCGTTAAGGAACCCCTGGAATGCGATGTTAAATAAAGCTAGATCTAGCGTGTGTCTTTCCAATTAAAAAGTAATGTTACTACGTGACCAAACATTTTACTGAGTCAAATATGCAATTAGCGAAATTTAATTTTGGACAGATTTATTAAGAGACATGTAACGGGTTCTAACTTAACATTTAACAGTTTGGCGCCCGTTTTTAATTAATCAATGACTAAGTTAACCGACGCTTTAAATCGCATTAATTGAGATA